AGGTCTCATTGAGTTCCTAGAGGGCAAAATAAGAGAGCTTGAAGCAAAAGCTCCAGAAGGAGAAGCAGAAAAAAAGCAGGAAGGAGAAGCTGAAAAGGAGGAAGAAGAAAATGGAATGGAAGCAAAGAACGAGTAATTTAATAAGTTGACCTGTCAAAGTAATGTTAGAGAGGTAAGGGAGGTTCTAGGAGAAGTTAAAATGTAAATAGATATATATATATATATACATATTGGGGGCATACAGTAATAATGGTGGGTATCTGTGGGGATACAGATGCTTTAAAAATATAAGCAATTTTTTATGTTAGTGGGTTGGGATAAAAGAGATGATAATGTTAAAGATCCGGGTATCATAACAGTTTCTTATCTACACTAAGTAACTTAATATAGCTAATCTATCTTTTTATAATATAATGATATTTTGTTCAAGATTTGTTTTTTTAAAAATTGTACTTTTAAGATGTATTCATAGTGTGTATATACGGTTACTTAAATATAAATAAAGACAAAAAAATCTAAAATATGTTAAAACGGTTCTTTCATTTTTTTTTTATTTTTTTTTTCATATTATGTACACAGATAGACAATGAAGAAAGCAAAGTTTCATGTAAGTTCTTTATTAGAATGAGAGAAACTGCACATCCTCTTCAGTCTAAATGTCTAACAAAAATAAAGCAATTTTATACTGATAATCTCTCGTATAAACTATGAAATTGTAAGGTATGTAAGTCAGCATATCATACCACCATGCACCCAAACAAATCAAAATCAAACTAATAACCAACATTCTAATTTCTGAAGGAAATCATTTCGAGCATCTGACTACAGATGAAAAGTAGTTGATCAAATGAACGGGCATTGCATCAAGAGAAAATTGTCAGCATAACTCTCTCAACACATCATACCAAAGCTGTAGCAGTTTTAGAATGTCAGCCTCATATCATCATCATTAGAAAAGAAATGATTCCAAAAGTAAAAGATACAACCATATAATCCTGAATCACCTTAGAACCACCAAATCTGGAACTAAAGGATTCCCATTTACTACATAAATAAAGTTTTTAACTGTATCCAACAACTACCAAATCTTTATTTGGATGTTTGTATGCAACTCTATATCAACAAAAAGTCTCCGGTAGCTACACCTGAAACATTACTGAAAACCAAGGCTTCAGTATGCCTGAGCAACATAAAGCACAAAATAAATCCCTAAAATACAAGAATGCAATGCTTTTTTCCATTTAATATTCGATTTGCTACCAAAAATAGAAGTGCTATCCTATAAGTTATAGACCCGCGATTGCTACCGGTGCCGGTTTAATTCCCATTTTATTCTTCAATTCTGATTTTCATTTTAGTTTAATATGCATAAGAGCTTTTTTTTTATCAGAAAAAATATGGATAAGAACATAACTCTTGTATTTTGATTATAATTGCCCCTACCTCAAATTTCTTCGCGGTAGAATTCAGTCTCCATCTTAAAAGGTAAGAATTGAATACCCATCATCCAAAAATTTAAAATGGGTTAGCAGGAAGTCAAATACAACAAATTATGTTTTAGTTATACATACTAATACTAATATGAAATTTATAACTACAAATTGAATATGACATAGACCAAAAGAAACCTAACTGGTAACTAAACCGTCCGTCGAATCACTAAGAGATTACATGCACATAGCAAAAGTAATTTATTGAAGAAAGACATGTAATCACGTACCTGCCTCAAAACTGAGAACAAATATCTCCTAGTAGAGATCAGAGTCCTTGAGCTCACCCAAAACCTATAAAAGAAAGCTCTCTACACCGCCATTTTCATTTCTATTTTCTGATGAGGATCATAACCTATGAGCTTGAAATCAGTCGCCACAAAAGAATCAATGTTTTTCTTTTCTGGATTGATCTTCAAAATCTACATTAAAATGAAGGTTGGAAAGTATAGAATAACCAATTATAGAAGAAAATAATAGAAAACCATGGTACACTATAATCTATATAAATGAGTACTATGCAATAGACCAAATGGTAATCAAACATGGTTCCTGTCTACTTCCCACTCACTGGAAAAGGCTTTGGAAGGTTCTGAAGCTGCTCCTGCAAGGGCCTGACATGATTGCTGTAAACATGAGTATCCCCAATAACATGGACCAAATCACCTGGTCTGAGATCTGAACAATATAGAGGATGGTTACTTGCAGGTTCCAAATAGAAAAAAGGTTATACTTACTATCTTCCATCCATTTATCCATATTTTTATTAACATATCTCTTCCAGGCTACCCAAATTCTGGTACATTTTTCTTAAAGATTATATCAAACAGCTCCTCTGTTTCATCCTTGCTAGCGCAGTATTCCTATTCCAACCAGACTGACTCTTCAGATGTCAATAGATAACAGCATCATATAGACTACAGAGCAATCAAAGCCATTAAAGACCTATGTACTTATTTTTTGGGAAGATAACATACCACAAACATGAGCAATAATGCAAGTTAGGAGTGCATAAGAGGCGATATTAAATGGTACACCCAGGCCCATGTCTGCTGAGCGCTGATACATTTGGCATGATAACTCCCCATTGGCGACATAAAACTGCAAAAAAAAAAATATTACTCCAAAAAATTGGTAGTTACTTTTTTTTAGATAAAAGTAAAAAAATGGTAGTTTCAATAAGAAAGCATTAGCTATATTGATAAAAACCTGTGCAAACATGTGGCACGGGGGAAGTGCCATCAATTTGAGATCAGAAGGATTCCAAGCTGAGAGAACTATCCGACGATCATTTGGATTATTCTTGATTTTATCGATAATATCTAACAACTGATCAAATCCTTGACCTGTATAGTCCGCATGCATATCAGTGTACCTGGGAATTACAAAAGATAGGTAAAATTTTAGTTTGATATTTCCATTATTTCACCAAACCTTAACATAATAAAGAATTTAGTCAATCACCTAGCACCAAAGTG